CCCAGGGGTGAAGCCTATGTCCTACAAGCCTGAATACCCAAGTCCAGGTCCCCTAAACCTATGTAAAAGGCACCATAGGAGGCATCTAATCCCAGCACCCCAAAAAGAAATGGGAGGTACCAACAGGAAGATTTCTAAAAGCCCAGGAGCCAGCTAGCCTGGTGGCTAGCAAAAGACGGTGCCTCAAAAGGGTGAAGATAGGACCCAAGGTTGTCCTCTGACCTCTACATGTACATAGTGGCACTTGCATGAAAACACACACACACACACACACACACACACTTAAAAAAAAAAAAAAGACCTCTGTGTAAAGCCAGGAACTCTCACCTGATTCCCAAGTGCAGAGCCAGCAATGACCTACTCACGTGTTATGCATATGTTCCCTCTGCCTTCCTGGGGCCCCAGCAAGCACCATTACAATTACCCAGGGCTGTGTAACACCCCAAAGCAGGTAAAAAACAGCCACAGTTCACTCACCTCACAGCTGTGGGATTGTGTGGCACTTTTCAGGAGGCTCACCTCTGCCCTCATCTGGGCTGGAACACACCACCATGAGTTCCATCGTAGTTGCTTGTCTTGTGACTGAGATAAAATGACTGCCAGAGACAACTAAGAGATTCCCCGTAGTGAAACAGAGCATCATGACAGCAGGAGCTGTGGGAGAGGAACCTGCTCACATAATAACAGATAGCAAGCCAAGATGGAGGACTAGACCAGGGACAGGTATAACCTTCAAAGGTAGTCACCAGCACCCTTCCTCCAACCTAGCTCCACTTTCTAAAGTTCCCACATCCTCCCCAGCTGGAGAGAGATTTCACAGGCAAATCATAACTAGTCCTAACTGGCTTCTTTTCCAGGTTGTGTGGGCCCCTCTTGGCTTGATAGGTGAGTTTCAAGAACAAACAGAGAGAAGTCCCAGAAAGGAACTATTCTGCGTCTGTAACCTGGATACATCATGGTGGTCCTAATAATCCACATACTCCCTCCTGAGTCAGCTTTGTGTAGCTGGGGCCTGGAAAAATTTCTCTGGTGAATGCAAGGTTGAGCTCCGTCAGCAGAGGGCGCTGGAACTGCAAGAAGCCCTGGAGGCAGAGGGGGCTTCCTCTTTCCCTCCCTTTCTGCTGGAGAGAGAGGGGCCAGAACTTCACTTCCTAGCCCCAGACCTCAGCTTTGGGCCCAGCACCCTCTTTTCTCTAGCCCTGCAGTTCCCAGTGAACCCTCTTTATAAACTCTCACCTCTTCTTGCAGAGTGTTCTACTCATGGCAACACACAGGCCCCTTTCTGAGTCTTGTGACTAGCCAGCACCTCTCTCCCAGGTAATCCTACTGCTATCCTTCTTCACCAAAGACAGCCACACACTCCACCCCAACAGTCTCCCCAGCTTGGGCACAGCGTTCTCCCAGGCACTCACTCGGCAGCTTCCCACGGTCCCTTTCTTGGCATTTGCTGCTCATGTGCTCCTTGAGTTCCTTCCTGCACACGCTTTGGTTGGCTGCAGGTCTCAGGCCTCAGTGTCACAGTTCTCTTCACAGGAGACCAGCACAGCTTCCAGCTCTTTCTGGCATGGGACAGAAGCAGTTCTACCAAACTCACAGTGTACGTCTGACCTTGGCGTTGGGCTACTGAGTTTCTTGCTGCAGAAAATGGCTCTCCTGCCCATGGTGTGTGGCCATTGCCTAAGGAAGCTGCTTCCACTGGCTGGAGATGATAAAGGGCCACTTGACATAGCATGGGATCCAAGTAGCTGTAGAAGGGTGACCAGAGCAGAGGACTCATCAGCATACTGGGGCATTCAAAGCAGTCCCCAGTTCCTCGGCTGTAAGAAGAGTGGTGTTCCCTGGCCTCTCTGAGGGATCACTCCTGTCTCACACACAGCTCTAGGACCAGCACTGCTGCGGGTCAGAGCCTTTTCTCTAATGAGCATTAAGTGACCACAGGCTCAACTTGTACCTGGCCACAAGAATTCCTTCCCAGAGGTTAGGACCATGGTTAGGGGTGTAAGGCAGTGGTAGAGTACTTGCCTAACACAGAGATCCTGCATCCTGTCCCTAGCACCAGAGAGAAAAAGGTTAGGACTTTGATGGAAAGACAGGAACCCTGAACTCTAGAGAAGACTGGACTTACAACATTGAATCTCCCAAACCACATGACTGCTCTCCTATCAGAGGGGCTTGGCAGTGGCCAAGGGACCTGGAGACCCATGTTTTAGGGGTCTTTTTATGATCCCACATGTGGCAAGTCCTTAGGAATCCCCATCCTCCTTGAGGACCTCCACAGCCACCTTTTGTTGCCATGAGGCCTAGAGTTAAATCCTAGGGTCCAGGCACATGGTGTGACATGGCAGGAAATGGCTCAGATGGAAATTGGGACACTTCCTCTGAGGGACTAAAGAGAGATGGCTGCCATGGCATCAGCAGACAGAATCTCAACAGTCAGAAGCCTGCAGGAGGAGGGTCGTGAGTTTAAGGCCTGTCTGAGCCACATAGCAAGACAGCCTCAGAAAATAAAAAGGAGCAAATACAAAAGATATTGTGTTCTGAAAAGACACAAGGTTTCTGTCCTCTCCCTTCCTCTTCTGGTTTTCTACACGCACGTGCACACACACACACACACACACACACACACGTGTGTGTGTGTGTGTGTGTGTGTGTGTGTGTTTTCTTAGTTTAGGTTACTATTGCTGTGATGAAACATGACCAAAAGCAAGCAGGAGAGGAGAGGGTTTATTTTATTTGGCTTATACTTACGCATGGTCTATCATCGAAGGAAATTGGGACAGGAATTTAGACAGGAGGCAGGAGCTGATGCAGAGGCCATGGAGGAGTGCTGCTTATTGGCTTGCTCCTTGTGGCTTGCTCAGCCTGCTCTCTTATAGTACCTAGAACTACCAGTCCAGGGATGGCACCACCCACAATGGGCTGGACCCTCCCAAGTCAATCACTAAATAAGAAAAATACCTTATAGCTGGTATCTTATGGAGGCATTTTCTCAACTGAGATTCCCTCCTTTCAGGTGACTCTAGCTTATATCAAGTTGACATAAAACTAGCCAAGACAGGCAGGCAGACAGACAGACAGACAGACAGACAGAAAGGATCCTTTTAAGATAAAGAAATCTTACTGGGCATAGTGGCTCACATCTTTAATCCCAGCACTTAGGAGGCAGAGAGAAGCAGATCTCTGTGAGTTCAAGGCCAGCTTGGTCTACATAGTGAGTTCTAGAACAGCCAGGACTACAGAGCAAGATACTGTCTCAAAAACAAGTCGGTTAATAAAATTTAAAAACATATTTATTCTTAGCTTGCAGGCTGTACAGAAAGGGGAGGAGGGGAGATCAAGCCAGTTTGATTCACAGGCCACAGTTGCCAAATCCTGACTTATAGACGGAAAGAGTTCAGACATTTCCAGCTCTGTATTGGCAGAGAACTACAAAGAATGTGCGGGTGTGCTTCCAGAGTGTTCAGGTGGAAGCAGAGCCCTCCCTGAGCAATAAATACTCCTAGTTACATTACTGCATCCAGCAAGGCACTGGGCACTGAGGTCTGTTACTTAACAGACTGGGCCTCAGTTAGTGACTCTGGGATGTCGGGACATCGTAGCACAGGGCAGACAAGAGTGGACAGAGAAAGTGGGTGTTAAGTGCAGTGAAGCCGATATCTGTGATTTCAAGGTCATCTTGGTCTGCATAGCAAGTCCCAGGCCAGCCAGGGCTACACTGGACCTGCATAAAACCTCTGTCCCACACCCCAGAGCAAGACTTTGATTAGGGCTTGAGAACCACACAGACGGGAAGCTCCAGCCTTCCAGTAAGTTCCACCAGTGCTGCCCTTTATAGTCATGTTACCCCAGGGACAGGGTACCATTATTGAGATTTCATGGGGCCAGTTGGCCCACAGAGCATCGGAGACTAAGATACAACAGCTAGCCACTAAGGCCAGTGGCTGAGCCAGTGGCTGGAGGTACAAAGAGCCCTGGAATACAGGATTCCTGGCTAGTGAAAGGGTTCCTGGGAATCCAAACAAAACAAAAATCAACCCTGCAGAAACTGCTTCTAAGTGACAGATAGAAGGAGCTAGAACCCTAGGTCTGGTAGCCAGAGCCTGCCTCAAGTCCTCACCATAGACTTTAGGCCTCTTGTGCTGTTCTTAAAACCAAAGTCAAGACTGGGAATTCCTCTTATGGCTGAGGAATCACAGGAGCCACTGTTGGGACACCAGAAAGTTCCCTCCTTGCCTTCCGCTCTTGTTTACTAAAGGAGTTGTGGGTGGGGGAAGGGAAAATGCAGGCTGTTCAGGATTTAGAAGGTGCTGCCTGCGGAGGGCTGGTCACTGGGTTTACTCCATTCTCGTTGTGTGGAGCCTGAGGCCAAGGCGGAGCCTCAGAAAGGTGTAAATGAACAAGAATGCTTAGTCATTGGCCCAGCTGCTTGTACTGCCTCTCAAAGGGATGATTACCGCGGGGGAAGCAGGAGGACTCCCCTCCTAGCAAAGACAATAAATTCAGGGCAATGGTGCACCTTTGGGGGTTGTCAGGGTGTAGAGCCCACGCATGAGTGTCTTGGCTCCCCACTTGACTCACCAAGGGTCTACAGAGGGCAGGTGGGATCAGAGAATCCCTGGGGTCAGTGTGTCAGTCCCAGAAGCAGGGCTGACTCATCGGTAGCCCAAGGACTGTCCACAGTGAGGAGACTAGGGGACGAAGGTGACAGCACCGAATGGCAGGTGAACGCTGGTGCACACACAGCTTCTCAGCAAGCACTTGTAGGTCCAAAATACATGTTCTGCGCCAGCAGGGAGGGGGAGTCGGCTGGGCGTTTTTGAAAGTAAGGAAGCCTAGCTTAGGCTCACTCCTCCGAGGTGCACTGAATTAATCATAGTTCCATCTGATCAGCCAAAAGGGCGAGGGAGGGCGTTCTAAGTCCAGCCGTGCGCTGCGCTAGGGACGAAACTGCTTCGCGTTCCGCGGCGCGTGGCTCCGCGCGGCCGCCGTAGGGCGGCGGAGTACGGTGGCCGCGGGGCGGCGGCGACGGGCTCAGCCGGCCGGCGCGGGGCCGCCATGGGCAACCTGTTCGGCCGCAAGAAGCAGAGCCGGGTCACCGAACAGGACAGGGCCATCCTGGTGAGGGGCGGACGGCGGGCAGGGGCCGGGCCTTGTGGGGGGAAACTGAGGCGGGAAGCGGAGCGGGCCGCGCTTCCGCTGCCATGGCGCGCCCAGCTGCAGACATCTGGACCGGCCAAGGCTCGGCCCGGAAAGACCGGGATTGTGTCTAGGGCCTGAGCGCCGATCCGTGAGAGGAGGTGCCAGGAAGGAAGCCTGTGGCCTTGGCCTTGGCACCCCAAGCCATAAGTTACTGAAAGTTCCTAGAAAAAGCCCCCGGAGAAAGATCCCGTGGGCGTGGCTGTCACTAAAAGTCTCAGTGTGATTCTTATTGGAAAAGGGTGCTCGTCCCCCATCTCTGCAGCCTCTGTGCGAGCAGGAAAACCCCGAGACACTCGTGTCTCAGGACAGCACCACTGTCAGCACACATCTGAACAGTCCCAGAGCGCCAGGCACACAGGAAGGAAAGAGCCTAGCTCCAGCTGCTGCCGCCACCGCCTGACCTGCTCAGATTGCTTGGTCTCCAGAGGCACAGCCTGGCCATCCTGCAGCTCTATTGGGTTCCCCCGTCTCCCCAGGCAAGATGCCTGATTCTTTGTAAACAGCTGCAGAAATAACCACCAGAGAAGAGCACGTGTAGCCTAGCTCACGGTCTCCAAACCTAAAGGTGGAAATTGTGAGCACTTTGTCTCATGTAGTTGATGCCCACTGTCAGGCAGACCCCATAGAGGACACTTGGGTGAAGATGGGGACACACACACACACACACCACACCAGCCGAGCTCCCAGCTAGCCTGTTCTCCCGAGTAACCTAGAGTCTATGGTGAATGATTTCTGACTAACTTAACCTTAAAGGTGCCCATTGCCTTCACTTAAAATGGTCTACCTCAAGGTGCCATCCTGTGTGTGACATGTGCCCAGGGCCTGCATCTGTTCAACATAGCTCCATCTGAAGATGTCAGCATGAAATGGCCTGAGTAGGAGGACTGGGCACACTTGGCTGGTGGCTGTGCATCCTCTTTGGGGGACCCGCTTGGGGAGGATGAGGCAGAAGATAGCATGCAACTTTAGATCCTTTTTACATTTGAACCTTCCGGGGCCTGGTGGCCACTCCAGTGACCCACAGAGCTCAGGCCACTCACATCCTCGTCTTCCTGTGACCGAGGAGGGTGGAAGTCTCCTCTTTGGCACATGGGCCTTGGCTTGGGGCATGCCAGTTGCAACTGCATTGTAAGACCGGAGGTGTTTCTGAGTGTTGCTCTATATCCTGTGGGTGGCAGAGCCCACTGCTAGACAGGGTTGCCTGGCCCTTCCTGGTCATGCTGGAACTCATCAGCCTGGTAAAAAATCTGGCGGAAGGAGTCACTGACCAGCCTGCCTGCTTGCTCTCTTCCCCAGCAACTGAAGCAGCAGAGGGACAAGCTGAGACAGTACCAGAAGAGGGTCACACAGCAGCTGGAGAGAGAGCGGGCTCTGGCCAGGCAGCTGCTGCGGGATGGCAGGAAAGAGTAAGGGGCACTTCCTTCCCCGAGGCTGGCATGGAGGGAGGGGAGGTGCTTCCCTGGGGCTGAGCCAGGGCAGACACGGTGGTTTTCCCCTGCAGACGGGCCAAGCTGTTGCTCAAGAAGAAGAGGTACCGGGAGCAACTGCTTGATCGGACGGAAAACCAGATCAGCAGCCTGGAAGCCATGGTAGGCAGTGGCCAGGAGCCTTTGCCGGGAACCAGAGTGCTTATGGAACGGAGTCAGGGGGTGGGCCACCCCAGGGTGGGAGGTGGGGACCAGGTCAGGCTGGTGAGAGTTGAATGCACCAGTGCTGGGGTAAGGGCTTCCAGGTTTGCCCCTGCTGGCTGGAGCCACTGAAAGGCAGTCAGCACCCCTGGAATGCCCTCCGGTGTGTCCTCAGTAAATCTCAGCCACCACAGCAGAGACCAGGAAGGGCAGGACTTTCCTTCCAATGACAGAAGCCTGTCACTCTGCTGGTCCAGAGCTAAGCAAGGCTTCTCAACCCCTGGCTGCTGCTTTCAGGTTCAGAGCATCGAGTTCACGCAGATCGAGATGAAGGTGATGGAGGGACTTCAGGTGGGGAACGAATGTCTGAATAAGATGCACCAGGTAGGTCTTCATGGGGTCTGGCGGGCGGGCGGGTGGACAGGCGGACGGGCGGGCGCAGCTGCAGGGCCCAGGAGATCAGGGGGAGTTTGTGGCACATCAGGGCCTGAGTCTAGCTAGATTGGGGGAAGTCCCAGCTCCTGGCAAGGACCAGTGGGACCAGAGGGAGGTGTGGCCCATCACGACCTTTGAGCTGGGTTCACTGGTGCTGAGTGGCAGGGAGTGCCTGCCTCCCCTCAGTGCTCAGGAAGCAGCACTGGGTGGTGAGTGGGCTGGCCTTTAGCTGCTTTCTGGGTATCTGAGAAGGGTCTGCGGTGCTTTGCATCAGGACAGCAGAGTATTGTATTTACTGTAGACAAAGGAAGTCTAGACAACACCCGGGAAGGCTTTCCAGTTTTGACCTGTTTTACTCACAATTGTTGGGGTTGTTTTGGGTCTGGGAAGGTCTGGGCAGTGGAAGACAGGTCTGGCTTAACACCAAGGCAGTCCCACTTCCTTGGCTTTGCCGAAGGAGAGACAGGATGAGGGCGTGGCCCTTGCTGTGGGCTGTCCTTTACCTTGTTGAGCAGCTCTGAACCCTCCTCATCCTCAGGTGATGTCCATAGAGGAGGTGGAGAGGATCCTGGACGAGACGCAGGAGGCAGTGGAGTACCAGCGGGTAAGTGTTGCTGGGCACAGGCTCACCCATTGCCAGATTGGCTAGCCACTGCTTCCCGGGGGAAACCAGCGGCCCCCAGATGTGCCTCTCAATCGCCCCCCCCCCCCCCCTACACAGCAAATTGATGAGCTGCTGGCGGGAAGCTTCACCCAGGAGGACGAGGATGCCATCCTGGAAGAGCTGAATGCAATCACTCAGGTACAGGTCCCCAGGACAGTCTGGTCCCCTGGGGGACGGGACCCTATGGGCCTCTGGGTGGCGGTGTGTCCCACTGTTGTGTCTGAACCCAGAGTCCTGGTTTCCCAGTTTCCTTCCTATGGTGATTTTCATGTACTGAAGCCACGCTTCTCCCACGCCCATGCTGCAGCTGAAGGAGCTGTGTGCGGAGTGGTTGGAGGCTGACCCTGCAGTTTGCTGCAGGCACTCATGACCCACATGTGGACAGAGAGGAAATGCTGAGCCTGCCCTGTCCAGAAAGCCTGCGCTCTCTTCCCTGGTGACTCAGTGGAGACTGTTCACCTCTCCACTCCAGGCCTGAGCTCAGGGCTCTGCTGCTGTGCAGCAGCTGTGTCTGCCCCGTATCCAGGCTGCGAGCTCTGTAGCTACACTGGCTGTGGCCTCTGCTTCCCAAGGTTTACCTGTGTCCCCAGAGCCACCTGCTGTCTGTAGCCCAGTAAAACTGTCTGGGAAGTTGTACACTGGGGCCTGTAGCTACCCAACTGTTAGGGCCAGGAACCTTATGAGATGCTGGGAAGACAGGCCACAGGATGACAGAGGCCACCTACACTCACAGGGCAGCTCTCTACCACAGCCCCTGGGGTTGTAGCCCCTCAGTGCCTCACAGCAGAGGTCAGCCACCTGCTTCCCCCCACGGTCCTCTGCAGGCCTTGTGAACTGACATAGCTCCAGATCTCTGGGGACTCTGAGGACTCTTGGGGTAGCTCAACCCCTGTAGTGCCCTGTCACCTGCAGTGGTCATCTATAAGGACACCCTAGCTAAGGGAGTGTAGGGCCAGTCATCTGAGCAGGAGTCTGGCAGCTGCTGCATCCCTCTGAGAGCAGCTAGATCCAGCCCTTGAGAGCCAGGGTAGCCTGTGACAGCATACAGCCTGTGACGGCATACAGCCTGTGACGACGACATGCGCCCAGCTCACTCCTCATCTGTGCTTCTTGCAGGAACAAATCGAGTTACCAGAGGTCCCGTCAGAGCCCCTCCCCGACATAAACCCAGGTACTGTTGCATTCTGTGTATGGCCATGTTGGTCTAAGGTGCGTACCCAAGTTCAGTACGCTGCTCATCACACCATGCCCACTGGCATCTCCACAGCACAGTGGGAAAGTATACTTGTGCCTGTGCCCGGGTTCCTCTCCTGAGAGCCAGACCAGCTCACAGAGCTGTGTTAACACATTAGCCATGGAGAAGGTTGTCTGCCACTTAGGCCCTGAAGGGCTTAGATCCCCCAAAACTCACAGCCTTGGGCAGCGCTGCCCCTACACCATCATGGTCATGGCTCAGGAGTCTCCACACACTCTGGTCAGTGGATTAAGTGGACACTCAAACTCAGAGTAGCTCCACAGTTCCCTCTGTTTCTTGGCAGCTTCTGGGAGCTCCAGGCTGTGCCCTTGGCCTGTATGTCTGTCTAGCTTCCTGCTTATAACTGACATCCCCTGCTGTGCATTCCCTACCCCGAGCCTCTGGCCTCATCCTCTGCAAGCTCTCCTTCTCACCACGAACCATTGTTTTTCCACAGAAGCCCCTGCCAAGGCCAGATCCAGGCAGGCAGAGCTGGTGGCGGCTTCATAACCTGGCCTTTCCAAGGACTCACAGGGATTCTCTGAGGACTGGCCCACTGAGCCTTTGGCTGCGCGTCAACCCTGAGGGCTCCCAGGAGGCCTGGAGGATGGGACTGGCCAGTGTAGGTGCTGACAGCTGGAACAGCAGCTTACATGGGAGGGAGCTAACATTGGGGCGCCACACTGCCCCTTGCAGTTTAGTCTGGATGGAGCTTTGTCTCTTTCTCCTTCTGGACTAAGTGGACCCTCGACCAGCCATGGCCAGCTTCAGGCAGCTGTGGACCCCATGGTGCTGTTCTTATGATGACCCAGCCTGTGTGACCTGCGCTCTTCTGTGAGGAAGCACCTCAGACCTTGGGGTCCCTGTGTTCCTTCTCTTGTCTCTGCTCTGACATGAGCTGGTGGGGCTGCAGTTGAGGAGTTGTCACCTTGCCTGGCGTCCTGATATCCCTCAGTGTCCCTGAGGCTAGTGGCAGAAGCCCTAGGGTTCTCCAAGTCTCTTGGAGCATCTTTGGTATCTCACACTCGATCCTCTTATGTTGGGGGAGGTGGACCAGAGGCCATCCTGCTGAATGGACAAATCTAGGAGCCTGACTTGGGGGTCTGTTCACAAAAGAAAGACATGTTGAAGGTGGTAACAAGACCCTGTTTTAAACGGCATGTACCCATGGAGTCCTGGACACACGAAGCCACCAACACCCAGAAGGCACAGAACTCGGAGGTGACCTCCAGAGCCCTATGCTTGTTTGATTACGGACAATCTCTGGTCCTCAGGTCTTAGAGGAACAAAGGGTCTTATGTACCCTTAGGGCCTACTAGGAAAGGAGGACATCTCTTCCTTAACCCCAAACAGGTCAACCTCAGTATTAAAGTTGACCCCTGCATGGTCTTTAGCCTCTTGAACTCGAGTTTGGTGTCTTGGTTTCCTGCGTAGGACACTTACACAGGTGGATTGGAGTGTGGCCCGTGATCCAGAAGAAACATCCCTAGCCACCATGCTAGGCAAAGCCAGGGCTGGGTGCCACATGCTTGGCAGGGGAGGGAAGCTTTGGGCTCTCACCTTAGGTTGGTGAACGTCTGGGACCTCTAGAGTTCCAGCTGTCTTTGAAGGTAAAGAGGGCAGGGCTCTGGCTACTCCAAATGTGCATGCACTTGGGGCTGGTAGTTAGGGCTGCCAGATCCCAGGCCTAAAGCCATTTCAAGAGAGACCAAGTGGTTCAGGGTTGCACTGCACACGGGAAGCATCATAGCTGGTAGACTGCAGGCAAGTCCCCTCCATAGAGCAGCCTCCATACACAGCCAGGCTTAGCACTGCTAGGTTGAATTCCGGTTTCTCAGGAGGCAGTGGAACATTCTTGGCAGCCACCAAGACCCACAAGTGTGGAAGTGGCTTCTCCTGCAGTGCCCGTACCCACCAGGAGGGGCGCTACCCACTTCTGCTGCTGGGGTGCACGGCTGTCCAATGAAGCCTGCTCCAAGCCCATGCCCCTGTCCTGCAGGAGTAAATCCAGGCCCTGGGTGCACCCACACCCTGCAGCCCCTCATTGCTGAGCGTGACCGAGCTGCAGGCAGAGCTTCACAGGCCCAGGAAGCCCAGATTCTGTCCAGCTCCACTGTGTCTCACCTGAGCCAGGAGGAGACTGGCTGTTCAACCAGGACCTGCCCTCATCCTGGAGCAGCCAAGAGTAATATCTAAATTTCCTTCTGGGGACTAGGTCTTGCTCTGTGGCCTATCCCGCCCTATGCTGTCTGATGGCCTCTCAGCTTCCCGAATGCTGGGATGACAGATGTACCACTGTACCTGGCTTGGAGGTGGTAGCCCTTCGGTTCTGACCCCCCCCCCATCCTGTGATCTCTGGCTTTCTTTGGACCTCCTGCTTTCCCATGCTTCCGTCAGCCAGTGTGGTTGGTCTAGGATCCATGACAATCACAATTCAGTACAAAGCCTGTGGCAGAGCTGGGGGCCTGCCAGAGACAGCCTCTGGAGGTGAGCTGTGGTGTTGTGAATGGGGCCACATGGCCAGATTGGGACATGTAGGCCAAACAAAAGCACAAAGCCTCCTGGGAAGACACCTCAGGCTGTGGCCTAGAGTTCTACGCAGGGCAAAAAAGGCCAGCTCTTAAGATGATCTTGTGGGAGCTGCTGGGATAGGGGCACCTGTGGTAGGAAGAGGGTTCACAGAAGAATGGTGTGTGTATGTGTGTCTGTGTGTGTGTCTGTGTGTGTGTGCATGTATGCACTTGCTTGGTTTCCCGCTGGCTCTTGTGCAGAGCGCTGGCTCAGCGAAGGCAGGTTTGGATCCAAACTCAAAGCATCAGCTGCTGAAGCCTTGGCGCCTCGCCTGGGCTCCCTCACATATGAAATCTTCAGGGCAGGATCCTCAGATGTCCCTAGCCCTTCTAGTGAATCCTGTACCCTGGTCACCAAAATGCAAGTTCCATGCACCCAAGTCTGGCATGGCGACTCATTCTTGTAGTCCCAACACCAGGGAGGTGGAGACAGGAGAAACACAATTTCCAGGCCAGCTGGGGCTGTGTTGTGACTCTGCCTGAGAGCTCATGGGTAGAGTGCTTCCCTGGCTCTCATAGACCGTGGGTTTGAAACAAAGAGGTAAACTGTTGCAGGAAGTGCTGACTTCTGGGACCACTAAGGGCCATTGTCCTATTCTCATTACAGTTATCTGTGTGTGGTGCCTGGAACATATCTGGAGGCCAGGCAATGTTCAGGATGGGTTCTCTCCACCACGTGGGTCCTGGAATTGAAGTCAGGTCTTCAAGCTTGGTGGCAAACCCTTTGACTGCTATGGGCTCAACTTCAAAGCCTGTCTTAATTTGTACTACCATGACAGATGACTAAGCCTGCATAGTTCATAATGCACATTTTCCTCCATGTTTGTTTCTCATGGTTTGGACATCACAAATGCCAGCCTCCTGCTGTGGCCTTCTTGCTGCTGCACCACTCAGGGTGTGGCTGGACACCAACCCTTGTGATGGTGGGGCCCCCTGTGTCCTAGTTACCTTTTTCCTTCCTCTCCAGCTTTCAGCTTTTCATTCTCTCTGCCCTGCCTTCCTGGACCTCTGGGGTGGGGAGGGGAAGGATGTTAGAGATGAGCTCTCAACATTTACTTCAGCTCTCTGACCAGTCACTGTCCCCACTGCAGAGAGACGCTTCCCCGACCAGGGTGGGGGGGGTCAGTTTTGAGGGCTGCAGCCCAGGGCTCAGCTGGCCATCACTTTGCTGATGTTTGCTTTAGCCGCTGACAGCTGCAATGTGTTCTTTCTCATCCCCTAGAGTCACCTCTGGGATGTTCCACCAGCCAGGGAGACCTGGGCAGTGAGGGTGTGACATGACAGTACTGAAGGCTCAGAGGGAAGCTGCTCTTTGGCTCCCTTTCTCCCAGGAGTGCACCTGAGGACCAGGGCTCAGGGTCAGGGACACCCGGATCCCTAGGGTCAGGGACACCCGGCACTCTGCCATGCTCCTCATCAACATTTTCAAACTCTGTGGCAAGCCCACTTGCCTGGAGGAGAAAGGGGTGCTATCCCAGCACATTCCCGTCCTCTAGACATCCCTGAGCCGTCCATGGTACCCAGCCTCCATGCAGGATGTGACTCTCCTGTCATGTCTTAGTTAGGATTTCCATTGCTGTGAAGAGACACCATGACCAAGGCAACTCTTATAAGAGACAGCGCTTAATTGGGGCTGGCTTGCAGTTTCAGAGGTTCAGTCCATTATCGTCACGGCTGGAAGCATGGCAGCGACCAGGCAGACATGATGCTGGAGAAGGCGAGAGTTCTACACCTTGATCAGAAAGCAGCTAGAAGACTGGCTTCCGGGCAGCTCAGAGTGGGGGTCTCAAAGCCCGCTCCCACAGTGACACACTTCCTCCAACAAGGTCACACCTTCCAATAGTGCCACTCCCTGGGCCAAGCATACTCAATCCACCGCATGCCAGGTACCTGAGGGTCACCCCAGGTTTCCCAAGGATGTTCTCTTCCTCACAGCACCCCAGCAAGGGCTCACTGGGCTCCTGGTAGCAGAGTTCACTGAAGACATTCAAGTTCTGAGAGTAGCAGCCTCTCAGCGGAGGGGCGGGGGAGGGGAAGGGGCTGTCCACCCACCCGGTGTTCCTGGGCACTCTGCTGGGGATGGTGCCTTAAGCTCTCTGTCCTGTCCTCAAGTCACAGTGAGGCCATGGTGGCTCTGGGTGAGTTCAGACACTTTCTAAGCCTCAAAAGAAACCCAAGGTGTCACTCAGATCCCTGACCAGTCCCCCTCCCAACCCAAAGCAACCGCTCACCTGCTGCTGTAGTTTCCCTTCCAGTTTGGATGTCAAACATCCCCCACAGGACCCAGGAGATGGCTTGGGGTTTAAAGGCCCATGCCAACAAGGCCGCTCAGATGACCAGAGCTTGATCCTCTGAAATTGATGCTTACAAACTGTCCCTTAGCCACACGTGAACTGTGCCACAGGTAAAGTATATATACATATAAGTACATATAAATACAGAAATATAAAAATGTGTTCTCTGCAGGCTCGGGTGCTTGAGCACTTGGGCCTCAGCTGAAGCCCTGTTCTGCACGGCTGTGGGGCCTCGGGGGATGAAGTGGATCACGGTGGCTGTGGGCCTGGTGGGCTTTAGTCTGTCACCAATGATGGACTGCACTTTCACCGACCACGAGCCCTCCCCCCTCACGCTGCTGCCTGTATTTAGTCACAGCAGTAAGAAAAACAGCTACTATGCAGCCCCTATCTGTGCTCTTCAGTGACTGACTCCTTGCCGTGCGCTCTGAGTTACCTGCTGTAGGAAGCGGCTCTTCCAATGTCCAGGCCACATTCTTTTTGTAGACATTCCTCATGTTGGGTTGTTTGTTTCCACACTTGGGCTATTGTGAATAAGTTTGGGGTGAGCGTCTGCCGTTGTTTTTCCTGGTAAATGGTAAACCTGTGTGTATTCCTTTGAGGACCCACAACTTTCCCAAGCACCTCCACAAGATCACACTCCCAACAGGGCAGCTGAGAGCTCCATCTCCCACAGCCGCACCAAGGTGGCTTCTTACTCTCTGTCCACTATCCATCGTGGTAGGCATGAAAGGGGTATATGAGGGTGTGTGGTCCTGGTTTGGTTTTCCCCTTAAGAACTGCACATGTGCCTGTGTGTTTGTGTGTGTGTGTGTGCGCGCACGTGTGTGTGTGTGTGTGTGTGTGTGTGTGTGTGTGTGTGTGTGTGTAGAGGGTGTGGGATCCTCTGGAGCTGGGAGTTACATGTAATTCTGAGCTTCCTGGTGTGGGTACTGGGAACTGAGCTGTGGTCTTAGCATAGAGCCATTTCTCAGTCTTGCATACATGTTCTCTTGTGTGTAATGATGTGTGAGCTTTTCTCAGCTCAACTCTTTCATGGGAGGAGCTCTCAGACGCCCTGTTGGGAGTGTGACCTGGCGCAGCCTCTTGAGAAAGTTGTGGGTCTTCAAGGGAATACACACAGGTTACCATTCACCAGTGAGATGAAGACAGCCAGTGGCCACCTGTGATCGTCAGAAACATGTCCTGTTCTGGTTGTGTTGTAAGAATTCTTTACTCTAAGCTGGGGGTGGTGGCATATGTCTTTAATCCCAGAACCCAGGCTGAGGCAGGATTGTGAATTCCAGACTAGTCTGGGTAACACAGTGAGACTCTGTCTCAGAAAACCAACAAATAAATAAAAATAATAAAATAAAATTTGCACATAGTCTGGGTATTAGAACTCTCATAATTTTGACTCATTCTGTAAACTGGCTACTTTTTTATAGTTTCTTTGAGGTTCAGAGTTTTTAATCTTTTTAACTTTTTATTGATTCTTTGCGAGTTTCACATCATACACCCCAGTCCCACTCACCTACCTCCTTGCTCCTCCTTGTTCAC